CTTGAAGTTCCACATTAAGATCATTGAGATCCTGAGTCATGTCGATAAGAAACCTAAAATCGCACATACATTCTGCATTACCGAAAAAATCCAAATCAATCCAAATCATATCCAAAAACAATTGTATTTCGCTTTCTAAATTGTACACTCTTTTTAGCATTGAACCGCTACTAAGCCAACGTACTTCGGTATTGAATACCACGTCGCCAATTCAGTTTATGAATCTTTCAGGAATTCTTCAAATTCACAATGAATTAAATTGATTACTTCAATCATCGGTACTGTGAACAATAATCTTTTCTAATGAAATTGAAAAATTCTCCAACACAGACTTTAGTTCATCGTACAGGCCGGTTGTAGTCCTTTGCAGTGGAATCAGTGAACAGAATTCTTCGGTAATATAAATTTGGTGTCAATACCACCTTAAAATATAGCCAGTTGTGCTGTATCGCTAATATCGCAACTCTGATCAAGTTCCAAAGATCAGTATTTGAATTTTGCAATGCGTTCACGAAGCATTGTTGCTATGTTCTCGAACAAGTCTTCAATTCTCCTTGCAATGGTGAATCTTGATAAACTAATGTTTGAAATAATATTTATTTTATCAGGAAATGCTATTTCTGCAATAGTAGTCAGACATTCTTTTATTATCTGTCCATCCGCAAAAGGTTTCATTTTTTTGGCAGTATTTGACTGATAACAAAACTAGCCTCCACTGCCGCATTTAATAAAAGAGCTTGATTTTCAAAAATAGTCAGTCGTTTTCCAAAGTTTTTCTCCAATGTATATATTTATGAGTATATGTAGTCTTTTTCTGTTTTTTGTTGACATTATTTCATTCTATGTTGTCTGTGTACAAGCTGTAATAGTTGGCATATTTTTGAAATATTATTATTATTATCTTTATGAACACTTTTTATTGTTCCATTCATACCATTATCACGGTCGTGAAAAAAAAATTTATCAACAAATATCTTAAAATTTATGATATTATATGTATATAATATCATAAAATTGTCTAAAATTTCACGGTCATGTTTGACGTACTTCGGATAGAAATGCACATACATAATCTATCTTGTTCATGCAAAATCGAGTATAGTGCGGTCTTGAATATTCAAAGGAACGTTTCTATGTCACGATATGTTACGTGCCGATTTTCCTCATGCAACTTGCTCTCAGCATTGTTTTCTGAAATTATATCGGATTTTGGTTGTCCTTCACAAAATGTATCACTGACAAACGCAGGAACATCATTTTGCAAACCAATTGTTAACATTCTTCACTGATGGTGCTTCATTACCAAAAATTGAGCCTATTCTAATACATTTACCATATTGTTGAACAAAGCAATTTTTACTGTACATTCTTCTCGAGTTGGTCCCTTTATTATCCTTTCCTTCTGGAAACTTCATAAAATCAATCTAACTCTTGAAAGTATTTCTGATATACGAGTACTTCACAGCACCATTATTATCAAGATTATCTCTACAGAGAGAACCGACCGCTGAAATCGGGTCGATGAAACGACCTGACAGTACAAATTCCTGGAATTTTGACTTTTTACTACAAGAATTCTGTCTTTGGCACCAAAAGTACAAAAAAGAACGACAGGGAGAGCACGGAAAAAAGCATCATAACACTAGCCGATATCTTTTTTATTCGCAAACATATTGAAAATCTGTCCACACTTTGCTAATGGCACTTGATGTGGGCTATCAGAATATGTCAATGAATCTTTTAATACAGGGTGTCATCTGACACCCTGTCTCCCACATTTTCTATCTCTCTGCCAGTGTAAATCCTATTTTTTGTCCCCCATAGAAAATAGTCCAAAATAGTAAGATCTGGTGATCTTGCAGGCCATCTAATTGACCCATTATTTCTCTCGAAATGGAAGGACTCCAATTTGAACATTTATTGCGCCATTAACTTTTTTGTGTATATAAATTACTTTATTTCAATTTTCATTACGATTATAGTGTTCATTTCGGATGTTATTATTGCCATCATTTCTTTTCCTGCATATATTTGTTTTCTTATTCGAAGTTCATTGTAGAAAACGCTCAGAGCAATGGAAATTTGAAAAAATATGAATAGGTACCTAAAAATAAAAAATACATGGTGCCTCATTAAAAAAATTGTTTTCCATCAACAACTATTCATGTCCTATTCGAAAAAATTAGTTTTTCACATCATTGAATTCTACGTAAAAAAGTGATTCGGAAATTTTTTCATACAAACAAAAATTTTTTTACAGGGAAAAAGATACAGCAACTTTTTGAAAATGCACATTTTCAACAAACATACTCTGTTGGATGACGACTCTTTCAGACTTGCCATTGGACTTCGACTTGGTACACCGCTGTGTGTTCAACACTTTTGTAAATGTGGTGCATTTGTGTATGAAACAGGTACTCTAGATTGAGCTGTCGTTTCAGCGCTGGTTGTTTATCTTGCTATTGTGCAATAAATGATCTAATCAAAAGGGCTTCAACAAAAATTTCTGCGATTTTAAAACCCATAGGCACAAGTTGAGACGACGGAAAACGTCCGAATGGTATGACATTTGTTCCATGGAAAAACGATTAATCTGTTTCGGACTTGTGTCGATACATTAGCAACTTGCCATCTTCCTGCTACTTCTGCGAAAGGCGGTGTTGCTGCCTCTTTACGAGAAAGTTCCAAACTACGGATATATCAGAATTTGGGAAATGATTATATCATTCGCCCACCACCTGTTGAAACTTTTGGTGGAAAAAAGGTAGCCAATGAAACCTACGAATCAAGAGCCACATCTTTTCTTATTCAAAAAATTAGTATAGCCATCCAAAGAAGAAAATGGGGCTTCTTTTTACGGTACTCTTCCTGATTCTAAAAAACTTGATGAAATTTACATGTTTTCTGAAAACCAACTTTATAAAGAAAAGAGAGGTAATAACAAATCACTTTATGGAATTAAAACAAAAGCAAATGGAAAAAAATACTTAATCTCAGCAAAATTCTGAAATGGGTTTCAAAGATATTTCGAATTGTGAAGAAAGTAATCGAAAACATAATAACTTGCTTTGAAAAAGGAGAACACACTATTGCTGCTATATGTGATCTAACAAAAGCATTCGATTGTGTCTCCCATTCTATTCTACTGAAAAAATTAGATGACTATGGCATAAGAGGAACCCCCCTGTCTCTTTTTTCTTCATATCTGACAAACAGATACCAATATGTATCAATTGACTCGAAAAATGTATCCGACTTAAATATCTATATCAACTTTCGATAGATATTCATAAAAATCAATCAACACTAAACAGAAATTGTGTGATATCCACGATCATGAGACTAGAGGATGTCATTTGTGGAGGGCCAGTAGATTCAGACTGAAAAAGTCAAGTAGAAACTCTATCGATGTCAACTTATACAATATTTTACCTTCACATGTCAAAAAGTTAAATCAATACTTGTTCAAAAAGTATCTGGAATATCTATTAATTTCGAATTGTGTTTATTCTACTATGACGAATATATAGCTGTCTTATCCAGAGAAACACAAATAAACGACGAAACAGTATAATATTCATTCTTAGGTAATAATGTATGTATGTGTATATGTGACTTATCTTATTTGTATCTAAAATATCAAATTAAATTAAATAATATACCCAAAGAAGCATTGGTCAAATGCGCTTGAAGATAGGAAGCAACGACCATCCAAAATGTAGAGAGAGAGATTTTTAATATCCCTAAGTGATAAAGGTGCACCACCCCAAACATTTTTCTAAAATTATTTCAACAAGTTTTTTTGTTTTTATTTTTTTATGATGTGGCATTGAAAAATACATATAATAATAACCCTCAACCCTCAAAGCATTTGCAGAAGTCATCAAGGAGTTGTGGTCAGAAGATTCATTTGATAGAGCAGTAAATACGGTCTCCTTAAAAAATCAGATTCAACGTTTTGCTTCTCGATTTATGGCTAATTCCCATCAAGATACCTAGGAGATTCTTCGTTATCTTTAGGTAGGTTTACATGAAGACGTTGATATAATTAATTAGAAACCTAAACCAATTTTAACAGAGATTGAGAAAAAATTGAGCGACAGTCGAAATGCTCAAGAGTCATGGCTCACATATTTGAGGATGCATAACTCTAAAATTGTAGATAATTTCGTTGGTCAATTCAAATCCACGATGAAATACACACACTGTGGACACTCATCAGTAACCTTTGATCCTTTCTGGTATTTGTATCGCTCCATACCACAAAGAAACGACCAATTGAGTTTGTGGCAATGCTTGGATTCGTTTACAAGAGAATAAACTTTGGATGGAAATGAAAAATCGACGTGTTCGAAACGCAAGGAAAGGAGAATATGCACAAAGTCCCTATCAATCAACAAGTTTTTCCATATTTTAGTAATTCATTTAAAAAGATTCGATCCAACGGAAAGATTCATAGGCAAATTGAATGATGTCATCGAATTTTCTCTAGAAGGAATGGAAATGGATAATTTTGCATCACAAAATATGGTTACTTGTTGTTTAATCTATATGCATTTTCAAATCACAGTGGGACTACTTACAGAAGGCATTATACAGCATACTGCAGACAGCTGTGTACGTGACACAAATACAACGATTCACACGTGTCACCAATTTCACCAAAATCGCTTGTGAGTGGAGAAGCAAACGTCCTCTTTTATGAAAAGGATGGAACAAAATCGCACCATTGAGATAACTGAGGCAAAGTTTCTTTGTGCAATTATTTTTCATTTGTTGGTGAGTCCAAACAAAATAAATATCTCTGTTTTGAAAAAAAAGCATTGAATATAAAATTACGATGATAGATAGATGTCGATATGCGGTTTTCAACATCAAGTTTGTCATAAAATTTGACGCTCAGATACAGCCATCAGTTTTCATCTATCTCGTTCGAAAACAAGAGTTTCTAATTGAAAGTGTCAAATTTGGGACACTCTGTACCACTTCGTATACCTAATCATGTAGGTATTAGGCAGCCAGTAATACAGGTGTACGTATCAGTTCTACCTGTTGAACCAGCAATCGATCCACGTGTTTACGATCATTTCAAATTCAGAGTTGAGAGCGCAGGTATGATAATGTAAATAATATGTCAGACGACCGACGTAATTCATAATTTGCTTTACCTTATCTCGTCGTTATCTAAAACAAGTATATTTGTTTCAGCACCCTATTGTTTTCCAATCATATTAAATGATTGTTCCACGTCTTCCAACCTGTTCCAGTGATAAATATTCTCGAAGAAAGTAAAAGTTTTTTGAAACCTGTGCGACGGTCTGCTGGTAGCTCGCTATAAGTGCTAAACCGGAACAGTTTAAATTTAATGCAGTGTTCGTGCTAAATATTTCGTCGAAATGAATCTCAGCTGTGGTTCAAGAACTATCAAGTATTTGATTTTCACCTTCAATTTCTTTCTTGTGGTGAGTTTCCTTTTAATTTTGTTTTGTTCATGAATTGATTATAGTCGGTATATTGAGTCGATTTTGTCTAATGAGTTTTAGTAAACAAACACCCATTTGTTTTGCTTGAATGTACCTTGTGACAATTAATATTCAAAACATTATCGATTGTTCGACTTCGAATCATCATGTTGTGGTTTTTATTACTGTACAGGGTGACCAGAATTGGGACTGGTTCACTTGTAGCTCGGAAATACTGATAATTGAACGATTTCTCATAGATATATATTCCGCCTGAATAACCGTAGTCAAACTTCAGCTTGATTAATCTTGATAATTTTTTATATGAAGTATATGTGCCGGCAGAGGCGGATTTAACGTGGGGAGCGCCCTAGGCAAGCACCCTAGGCAAGCACCCCATAGGCGCCCCTTTAGCACACAATTTTTACTAACTTTGTAGCTTCGCGCCTTGTTTGCCTTACTAGTCTAATCAACAAGTTCAGAAACATGAAAAATAGAGATAAAAGTCCTAAAAATATGAGCAGTAGCTCATTCGATTCGGAATCGCCTCTAGAAAAATGTTTTTGAAGGATTTTGGTGCAGGTAAAAAATTGCAGTTGTTATCAACAAAATGGGATTTAAAAAAAATAGTATTTAGTTTTTCGCAATTTCGAAAAAAGCTCGTTGAAGAGGAGGAAATTTTCGATAAAAAAGTCCCGACTCCCGAAACTCTATCTGCATTATTTATAATTTTAATTTGACGTTGAAAATAGGGTTCCGCATGCGCGCGCTGCCGCTAAAGAGAATTTATCAAAAGAAATTATTTTTTTATAACATAAAATGTCATTTT